TTTCATTATTTTCCAGACAACCCAACTAGGGCTACAACTCAGTGGTTATCTAATCAACACAACAATTACACAAACACTTCAATTTGCCATTTTACGAAAATTCCATCTGCGGGAATCGGCACCCATGTATACACGCGGTTTCGGGACTTTCACCCTGGACACACAGGCCAACTTAATTCAATGGAGTCCATCCATTTTCTCCTCCCAACCATGGAGTACATCCCTTTTTTTTTTCCCCAAACCTCATACATATACAATGTATTTAAAACACAGTCATATTCAGTAACAACCAACAAGAGATTAATTTCAATTCACCTAATCCTCATGCAATTTCTACAACAATCATAGCTATCCTCCACCGATAGCCCAATACAGATATTTATAAATAGATATTCAATTTCAAGACAGATAATTTATTCAAAATTTCGTAGGTGAGTGATAATACATATTCTTCTCCACCATTTATGTCAACATTCATTCAATTTCACATTTTCAATACCAAATCCATTTATTCATACAAAATAAATATTTGAAACATTTTAGGACAAACTCCCTCTTTCCCAAATATCAACCCAAATGCCAAAATCAACTATTTTGTCATAATATAACTCATATTCAACCCCACAACCATTTATAACTCATTCGCTTAGAAAACCCTCTTTTGATTTAATACCCAAACCCAAGGTTTGTTCATAGTACACTCAAATTCTACCATTTTTACACAGCAACTCATAACTAAGTTAAAATTCGTATAAAAGTGTAGAAAATCCCTACTTCAAGCTTAGAAGATCGAAGGAGCAAATGAAAAACTTCAAAGATGCTCAAACACAAATTTATTCGAATCAAATGCAAGCCTTCGATGTGCTTCACCTTTTTCTCAAAGATACTAGGGTAGAGAACTCAATGGATCTGCATGAAATGAAGAGAGAGAGAGATGGGGAGTTTTAGAGAGATGAGCTTTAGATCTAGGGTTTTTGAATAGTAAAGAGAGAGAGAGAGAGAGATATGAAAAAGTGACGTAAAATGTCACTTTTATGGATTGAAATACACATAGTCCACTCGAGCGCAAGAAGTGACGCTTGAGCGTCAGACACAATAAGTTGTTCCGTTCAAGCGAAAGAAGTGACGCTCAAGCGTCAGACACAATAAGTTGTTCCGTTCGAGCGAAAGAAGTGACGCTCGAGCGTCAGACACAATAAGTTGTTCCGTTCGAGCGAAAAACGCTCGAGCGTCAGACACAATAAGTTGTTCCGTTCGAGCGAAAGAAGTGACGCTCGAGCGTTAGACACAATAAGTTATTCCGTTCGAGCGAAAGAAGTGACACTCGAGCGTCAGACACAATAAGTTGTTTCGCTCGAGCGCAAGAAGTGACGCTCGAGCACCAGGGCACAATGAAGAAGACCATCACCGCTCGAGCTCAAGAAGTGACGCTCAAGCGTAGAAAACACACATCCAGAAGTTTTGTAGACAACAGACCAACGCTTGAGTGCAAGAAGTGGACGCTCGAGCGCAGAAAGCGTCGCTCAAGCATAGAATACACTCACTTAGTAGCTTTGTAGACCTGCAAAAGTACTGAGAGTTTGTAAAGCCCACTCGAGCGAAGGGGAAAAATTCTAGGCAACAAAAGTTTGGAAACTAAGCAACTAATTTGTCCCAAACACAACCACCACAACCCAAAGGACAAACCCAATGGACAAGAAGGGGAATAAGAGATGAACAACAACATTAAACCATGAAACCCAAGTCCAGAATACAACAAAGGTCGGGTCAAAACCAGAATCGCTATAGTTAGTTGCTTATTTATCTGTATCAGAGTCTGTTAAGGCGAAACTCATTCACTACATTCTTATTTAGCTACTTCACTATTAAGTTCTTTTTTGTGCTTAATCAAATTAACTATTATTCATTTTCCAACTCTCTATTTTATCAGTTAATCATTTGCCATGCTAGTCATTAATTTTTATTGGGGTATTATTAATTTTAATTTGTAGAAACCTAATCCACTCCCACCTTAGGTTGCTTTTTGGGTAACAAGCCCCGTATATACTTTTTGGTGGGTGCAAATATCTGTCTTTAGGAAAGCGACTTAGTAATGTGACTTGAAGCATCCATTTTTTGTTTTACATAGACATTTTGATTGCCAATTTTTGAAGACCCGAAGACCACCAAGTGAAGAATTCAAGAAGAATTTCTCCAACACAATGTTCCAAACATTCTTATTTAGCTACTTCACTATTAAGTTCTTTTTTGTGCTTAATCAAATTAACTATTATTCATTTTCCAACTCTCTATTTTATCAGTTAATCATTTGCCATGCTAGTTATTAATTTTTATTGGGGTATTATTAATTTTAATTTGTAGAAACCTAATCCACTCCCCCCTTAGGTTGCTTTTTGGGTAACAAGCCCCGTACATACTTTTTGGTGGGTGCAAATATCTGTCTTTAGGAAAGCGACTTAGTAATGTGACTTGAAGCATCTATTTTTTGTTTTACATAGACATTTTGATTGCCAATTTTTGAAGACCCGAAGACCACCAAGTGAAGAATTCAAGAAGAATTTCTCCAACACAATGTTCCAAACAATATAAAGTGTGAACATTCGCATCTGTTCTCTTATGTTGAAGTTGGTATGAATGTTCACATCGTAATTTATGTTAATATTTATTCCAAACACATTCTGTCCTATTTTTATTGTGGTTGACTACATATGTGAATATTCACATTTTACATAAATTAGGTATATGATCCATCCACAAACATACTAGAATTAATGTGAATTTCCATATCTATTTATCACATTGTGAATATTCACATCATGTTTAAGTCCAAATAAACATTGTGGCTAGTGGTTATATGACTGAATACAACAGTGTGATATGAACTTTAACATCACCATTGCATAATGGTAATGAACACAGTGAAAACATATACACCATTTAATATTATATAGGTGGGAGAATATTCACACTAATGGACAACACAAATAACAAATTTTCATTACAAATTAATGTCAACATTAACACTGATTAATGATGTGATGATGTTAACAAAAACCAGAAACAATGGAAGCAACAGAACTAGAAATCTAAAAAATCTCAATCTCTCTAAAAATAAAAAAAAATCATTATCGACATCCTCATCCTCATCTTCATCTTCATCATTATTACTATCATTAACAACATATATAATTCCACCATTACACTAATTCAAATCAAACCAAACCCACATTTGAAAAACAAGTTTGTAACAATATCGAGCTTCGAATCATGCTATCTCCCTTCGATTTAAATCCTTCTTTCTCCTTTCGATTTCTTGTTGAAATCGCAACTATGGCAGAAAATTGAGTCTCTAACCTTCGTCCAACAATTCTCAACTTAAAATGTTCCTACAATCTATGACTGTAATGAAACAAAGCTTCAACTTACAACAATGGAGGAACACATAGCTTCAAACATAAAGTAATAATTGACAAACACAGAGCTTCGAACACAAAGCAACAATGGAAGAAAAAAAAACTTCACCGCAATAAATGAAGGAATATAATATTCTCTGGCCACCATGTGTAAATTAGAGATTCGAAACACTATCATACAAAGATTCGAAACGTATCAGCCTATTCCCGACAAAATTGATGATCACCAAAATTGCTTCTAGAAAACTATGGAAATGTGAATAATACAACTGTGTGAAAATACGTACTACCAAAATATAAAGGAGTATAATAGTCCCCAAAAAATTATAAATTAGGAAAAAAAAGAATCTCCTGGTATAGAACTCAAACTATATGGGACTTGGTGAAATATGAGAGTACTTTATGGACTTATTAGGTTATAAGTTCACTAGATAAGATTTATACATAAATCTTAATACTTTTTAACATTTTTACATATTTTAAAGGCACTTTTTATATACTTTCCAACTTCAAACAATACTTACACTGTGTTTGGTTAGGGGATTTGAGGAGGGATTTAGAAAGGGAAAGGGAAAAGGAAAAGGTGTGTGAAATTATGTGAAATGGAGGCATGTTTTTTTCACATTTCACCTACCTTTTCCATTTCTCTTTCTAAATCTCTCCTCAAATCCCTCAACCAAACACAATATTAAGGAATACTTGTTAACATTTGCATATATAAAATATATGACTGTAGAATAAAGTACAACAAAACAAAATCATATATTTAAAGTAAAAATTAAAAGCACCTTTCGCTTAACTTTCTAATAATCAATTTATGTAAATTGTTTTAACCTAATAAATTAAAAACAGAAATTGTACCAAACAGTCTGACTCAAACTCTCAATTTAGAATAAACTATAATCACCTCTTTCAGATTTTAACAAACACCCCTCTATCATTGTGGTTGAAATTAAATTTTACTCTTTCTAAGAATCTCAAACATTTGCTTTTCTGGGACCACAAAAGAGATGACTAGGGGTGATAAACCAATCAAATAACTCAAGTTTGACTCGTGCTCGACTCGTTAAAAATTTATTTGAGCTTGGCTTGTTAAGTAAATAAGCCAAATTTAAACATATTTGGGAGCTTGTTAAAGTTCGAAAATGAAATTTGAACAGCCAATTGTTCGTTCGACTCGATTCGATAGGTCTAAATTTATATAAAAATACCAACTACTTGAATTTGACTCGATAAAAATTCGTTTGAGAACGGCTCGAAAGTTTAATAAAGCAAACTTAAATAAATTTTAAAACTTGTTAAAATTATCAAATTAAACATGAATATTTTTTGATTTGATAAAAAAAAAAGAGCATGAAACCCTCTTTAAATCTCAACCATTGTGGTATATGTAAGGCCCACAACATTATTGGTTGAGATCAAAAAGAATTGTAAAGGTCCCAAAAAAAAAAGTCTCAATCAGTGTTGTTTTATCACCCTAGCTATGAGTGTAATTTATTCATATTTTATATAAATAAATAGTATTATACTAATGACATGTTGGCCTGCTATTGGTCTGTTTTAGTGCTGTGATTTGGCCTTTTTCCTTCCAAACAAACCAATTGAAAGAACAACGCAGGGCAAGGCGAGTCCAATGTGCCAACAGCTCTTACCGTTCCCACTTCTCACTCCCCATCAGTCTTCAGCTCTTAACCACCCACCAGTTACTCTCCACTAGACCTCGCCACCCAGCCCTAGCTCTCTCTCTCTCTCTCTCTCTCTCCACCATCATCATCGCTCAATCAATTCACAAACCCATCCATTTCATCTTCCTTGTTTGCTTTCAATCTCTCTCTCTGTCTGCAACTGCAATCCTTATCTTGAAGCGTTTGAATGCGTGATCATCGTCATGTATATAACCAATCAGCTGCCGATCTTCTCCATCATCATCACCATCATCATCGTCATGTATATAACCAATCAGCTGCGCTTCGCAGGGCGTCGAGGACTAAGTTTCTGTCGTTTTCTCCTTCTCTCTCTACAGCTGCTGCCTCTTGTTCTTCTTCGCGTGCTCATTCGTCACCGTCTATAACCAATCAGTGCCGATCTTTCAGCTTCTCCTCCGTGTTTCGTTCTGTTTCGCGGTGGAGTAACGGCGTCGATTGGAAGTCTCCGGCGACTCTGACTTTGAGCGAAGGATCGCCACCATGGGTACTAAAAGAATCTTATGTTCCTATGAAGTTGTATTTTTTTTCTTTTTTTATTTTATTTATTTATTTTTTATTTTTTAAATGGTACTTAGTTCCTTGCTTATGTATTAGAAGATTTTGAATTTTTTACTTTATTTAAAAACTGTACTAGAACTATTTTTGTAATAAATGTAATGTGCTAATTCAAACTATTTACAACGGTTTTTTGATGTCATTTAATGTCGATTTTATAGTTTCGGTTTGAATTAGACGCTTTCAGAAGTTGCAATTAATAGTAAAATTTTGCAATCCTTTTTTGTTGGCTAGTTAATTTTTTGCAATTTTGTTGTTTATCTGTATGTGTTCAGCATCCGAGCATGCTTTCAAAGGAATATTGACTGGTCTTCCCAAGCCAGGACGTGGCTAGTTTGGAAAATTCTAGAACTCGCCCGCTCTGAATGATCCAAGGATCGGTAATTATCTTGAGCTTGTTCTGGAATTGTAACTTGTATCTTTTTTTTATTATTTATCTTTTGGCTAAAAATTACTGCATGAATGCCATATAAACAGTCTATATACCCCCCAAAAGAAAAAAAGATTGTAATACTTGTTATTAAAGGAATGCCTTTTATTCTCGAGTCCGTTGTCATGTTGGATAATATTTTCTTTGTCTACTTTGTCCTTTCTGATTTAAAAAAAAATTCTACTTTCCCATGTCATTGTTGTAGTTACATGTGTAATCTTGAGCCACTTTTTTCTTGTATGATTTTTCATTCTCAAGTAATATTGTTTTATATTTATCAATTTTATGTACAACAAATGAACCTTTGAAATGCTTTTAGTAGAAATATCCTTCTCACCATTACTGGTTTACAAGGTTTTGTGTTTATGTTGTATTTGTATCCATGACTTATCACAATTTTTTTCTTTTTTTTGTTTCCCCTGTTTGCATGAACAGATATGCGGCCATACTCTATTAGGATCCTTCTTGAATGAGCAATTCGTAATTGTGACAACTTCCAAGTCACTAAGGAAGATGTTGAGAAGATAATTGATTGGGAAACCACTTCTCCGAAGCAAGTTGAAATTCCCTTCAAGCTTGCTCGTGTTCTTCTGCAGGTTTTTGTCATTATTCTTCTTCATAGTGTCCATAGACATGTATCCAACTTCTAAAACTCTTCTTTTGTGCCAGGATTTTACTGGTGTACCAGCTTTGGTTGACCTTGCTTGTATGCGTGACGCCATGAACAAGCTTGGAAGTGATTCTAACAAGATCAATCCTTTGGTGAGTGTCATTCTCATTTACTGCATTTATTTTATCCTCCAAGAATTAGATTCCTGAGGTAGTTGCTTTTGGATATTAAGTCTGTGCAACTCTGCCCCCCCAATCCCAATAGAGGTCCAGCCCTGTCAATTTGAGTAGGAACTTTAAATATTGGGAATAGTAACTTGTAGATTCAACTTGGCTGCAAATCCTTTCATCCATCTTTTTTTATCACATTATTTTCTGTGTTAATGCTTGTAGTTAAACCTTTTCCTTCCTAGTCCTGGAAAACTCCATAAATGAACCTTATTTAAAAAATTTAACTTCATGTGGTGCATACATTTCATTTCAAGCCATCCCTCAACTGTTATGTTACCATATCATTAGCATTTCTTTAGGCGTACTTTTTTGGCTACAGTTTTCCTTTCAATGATCTGTTTATGCAATATCCTACATGCAGGTTCCTGTAGATCTTGTAATTGATCAAAATCAGAAAATGCAGCACAGGAAAATATGGAGCTTGAATTCCAAAGGAACAAGGAGAGATTTGCTTTTCTCAAATGGGGGTCAAATGCATTCCAAAACATGCTTGTTGTTCCTCCAGGTTCTGGTATTGTGCACCAGGTATGGGAGCTTGACTGAGCAGCTTCATCATATTATAGAGCTTTAATATATTGAATTGCATATCTATCTCAATATTTTTGATGTGCAATTATGTATAATCACTGTATAAGATTTTCATTTCAAGCTTTGTGTTAATTTTTTTTTGTAATTTATATATATATATATATTACTAAGAGATGCTTGGCAAATGTAGATGTCTTTTCATTTTCAATTGTCTTACCGTTTTCTTCGTCATGTATATAATTTGAATTTATTAATTGGATTGTCATTATGGCATTTCAGATTAATCTTGAATATCTTGGATGTTTTGTCTTTAACACTGATGGTATGCTCTATCCAGATAGTGTGGTTGGAACTGATTCCCATACTACTATGATTGATGGATTAGGGGTTGCTGGCTGGGGAGTTGGAGGTATTGAAGCAGAGGCAGCAATGCTTGGCCAGGTAAATAATGTTATTGAAGTGATGGAAAATTGTGAAGTTTTGTCCATACTTAGGACGAAAATTGATGAATTTGTTTTCTTTGACCATAACCACTATGTTTATGATGGTTGTGGTAGTAGCATAAGCATGTGCATTTCCTTTTACATAATGCTATCAAAGCACTCAACGAGGTATAACTCAATGCTAAGAAGCACGGACACGAAGACACGGCAATTTCAAAAAAATAGGGACATAGACACAGCAGGGACACGACAATAAATTATGTTTTCATATATTTTTATTTGCTATATAGATTAATATTACATCCACAAACAATCAATATTAACAAAAATAACTCTAATTCTATATATATATATATATATATTTAAAAACATTGTTAAATTAACACTTACTGTTTATATCTTTTTTTATGAATGATTTATTAAGTATTTAAATATAAGAAAAAAATAATAAATATTCAACATTCAATATTCATCAAAAGTACTAAAGAAAATGAGGGGAAAAAAAGACAACTTGACATGTCCTTAGTGTATCCCCAAAGTGTCCCTGGCATGTTCCCTGAAAATAAATTAATTAAATAAGGGACATGCCATGTGGCGTGTCCCATACGTGTCCCTACTATGTCCATGTGTCCCCGAAATGTCCGACACGGATACGACACTTGTTTTGAAGTGTCGGTGCTTCATAGACTCAATGACGTAAGGTTATGGAATATTGTGGCATATGGCCACACATGCTTAATTTATCGCTTCAGGTGTCGTATGTAGTGAAACTTAAGTTAAATACCATGGGTATGTTTGGTTTGAATTTCTAGAGTGATTTTGGGAAAAAAAATTTAGAAAATTTGTTTGGTTTGTAAATTTTCCAAAACAATTTTCAAAATCACTTTCTCTCTCTTACCTATCAATCAATTTTCAAAATCACTTTCTCTCTCTTACCTATCAATCAATCACTTTTTCTCTCTCCTCTCTCCTTCTCAATCACTTTTTTTCTCGCACAAATCTACTCAATTATAACAAAACATCAAATCATTACAAATGTAGAGTGATTTTGGAAAAAAAAAATTTTAAAATTTGTTTGGTTTGTAAATTTTCCAAAACAATTTTCAAAATCACTTTCTCTCTCTTACCTATCAATCAATCACTTTTTCTCTCTCCTCTCTCCTTCTCAATCACTTTTTTTCTCACACACATCTACTCAATTATAACAAAACATCAAATCATTACAAACTCTCATACTCCAAAACTACTTTCAAAATACACAACCAAACAAACCAAAAAAATTTCTAAACTCTCTCCCCAAAACAATTTTCAAAAACTACTCTCCCAAAAACAAACCAAACAAGCCCCATATTTCCCATCAGTTATGTCATTACTTACTAAGGACAGAAAATTAGCAATAGGACCGGTGTATTTGTTTCTTGATCTGTACCACTTCTAATGGGAATGAGATGGACAAATTTTCTAAACCAACTTGGTTTTGGCGTAAAGGACTTACTTTGATGCAATTCTATGTATGTGTTCATGCGCTTTTAACATATATGTACTGGAATAATCACGTATGATTGGTTTATAGATGGGTTAGGAATGGGCTTGGTTGGTAGCCTCAAAACTTGAGATGTGTTTGGGCTAATGTCAAGACGATGCTACCTATAATCAGTTTTACATGTTGGACTCTTATATTTCTCCATAGTATCTGTGTTCACCGGATATGATAAGAGTATTGGTGTGAGATATGTATTTGACACCAGGACCTAATTTAGACACCTGGATCCTCTAATTTTATATGATTTTCGAAGAAGAAACTAACATTTGCTAGTAAATAAATATTTGTTGCCTTTCACATGGATGAGGGATATAACATATTTCATATTTTCCCTAAATTCTATTTAATTTCATGTAAGTTTTTAAATAATTTATATAATATTATCTAAGAATATTAACAATACGCAATTTATACAAGTATTTAAGACATGTCCCATGCCCATACCCAACTTTAAGATACATATCTTAATATTCTAAGATTTTGGTTTAGGAAGGTTTGATGCTACTTGCACCCGATACTTGTATCCGAGTCCATATAGCATAGGTATTAGCTCACATGCCTACACATATGAGTCATTTCTTTAGCATCTGACACTCTCAAGGCTGTTTATGCTTTTGAGTTTTGTTATCCAGGGCCTTGCTTTTTTTCCCCTTATACTTGTATGCTATAATCAAACCATCTAATTTAAGGACTCCAAAAACTATTTAAATTAAGTCTTAATTGCATGCGATTCTCCCATGGAATTTGTTTCACTACTCTTGGACATGCTTTTGGAAATTAATGCATTGAGTAGATTCGAGTTGTCTGGAAAATTACGCGATGGTGTCACTGCTACTGACTTGGTTTTGACTGTGACCCAAATGCTAAGGAAGCATGGTGTTGTTGGCAAATTTGTTGAGTTCTATGGTAATCAAACTGAAGCCTTGGTACTTTTCAACTTCCATGGTTCTGTCAATGGTAGATTTAATGTTTCCATATGCCCTTATTTGTAGGTGAGGGTGTGGGCAAAATTTCGTTAGCTGACAGGGCTACCATTGCTAATATGTCTCCCGAGTATGGTGCAACAATGGGGTTCTTTCCTGTAGATCATGTTGCTTTGCAATATCTAAAATTGACTGGAAGAAGTGAGGAAACTGTGAGTACTTTTCAACATTCATGTGTGTTCGTTTGAATGTGGATGAAACCAAGGACAATGATATTGATAATAGTGATGTCTATCTTGTCTTGGTGCTTGTGATATATATTTTCACAAGGTAACACTCTTTTGTGTTGAAATTCAGGTGGCAATGATTGAAGCATATTTACAGCAGTTTTATTTTGAATCAGTTTACTGAATTTGCTTTTCTTTTTTCTTTGCTTTTTTTATTGCAAATGTTTTCTTGTTGTAATGAACATCAGACATGCTGTTAGTGTACGTTGGTGGTGTAGTAGGTATGACTACATCAAAAGGAAAATTTTCTAATTACCAAGGAAATATGGGATAAACTTGAATGGACATTGAAAGTTATATTGTGTTTTGGTGGTGTTGCCATCGTGTATAGCCTTTGATTGCTAGTATTTGTAATGTTTAATTATGATGTAGGGCTTTGCTATACCAAAAGAGGTACAGAACAAAGTGGTAAAGTTTTCGTTCCACGGACAGCCTGCGGAGCTTAATCACGGTAGTGTTGTCATTGCTGCTATCACGAGCTGCACAAATACATCAAACCCTAGTGTCATGCTGGGGGCTGGCCTAGTTGCAAAAAAGGTTTGTGAACTGGGTCTGCAGGTTAGCTCTGCTCTAATGACCTTTATATCTTTGTTCCAGTGTTTGTTTGTTTGTTATTTATTCCCCAAATATTTCATGGTCAACTCTGATTGATTTTTACCTAGCCGGGAGATGCTGTCAAGGGCTCCAATATTTGATTCTTACATTTGCTTAAATGATAATTTCCCAGGTCAAGTCATGGATAAAAACTAGTCTGGCCCCAGGTTATGGGGTTGTTACAAAATATTTACTTCAAAGGTATTGCTTGTAATTTTTTTGCAGATTAAGTTTAATAACTACCTAATGTAACACTGATATTTTTCCGCCCCCGTTGTGCAGTGGGCTGCAGAAGTATTTAAATGAGCACGGCTTCCATATTGTTGGATGTGGCTGCACAACCTGTATTGGAAATTCAGGGGATTTGGATGAATCAGTTGCTTCTGCAATATCAGAAAATGGTATTGTCGTAGATTTGTTCTGAGTATCTGTGACTTGTGTAAATAAAATTGAGCATAGTCACTGTTTGCCTCTCACTTGTAGGATTATCAAGTTAACTGTCAAATCCATCTAATTTAATTGTGGTCTGCTTCTACAGACATTGTTGCGGCTGCTATTCTTTCTGGGAACTGAAATTTTAAGGGTCGTGCTCATCCCTTGACAAGAGCTAACTACCTTGCCTCTCCTCCTTTAGTGGTTGCTTATGCCCTTGCTGGGACCGTAAGTAACAAAAACATATAGTGCTGGTTTTTTTATTTTCATTGTTTTGTGTTTCAAGGAATTTATTCATCATTTCCTGATGAGATGTAATGTGGGAACAAATGAAAAAAGTGAAAGCTGAATCCCTCTAGTAGTGGGTACTTGCCTTCATTTGGTTTTTGAATTAGATACTTGCCCCTTCCGTTGTCCTTGGAGGCATTTTTATGTGGACCCTGATACTTGTCATCTAATTGTAGTGCTCAAGATTCACCACATGACTAATTATATAGCCTGTCTTTCCGTAGTGGTTAGTATGTAGGTTTAATTAGGGCATACATGTCTTTTGCTAGTTAGATTAGAAGCAGCACCAAGTGTTTCTCTCAACTTAAGAAGGGACATTCGATAGGATTTACCTTGTGTATGTTTTCAATGGTATGTGATTCTACAGGCCTTGCAGTGAGTAGTTGACTTGGCTTTGAGGGTGGCCAATCATGTGGTGTTGGGTCTTCAAATATGCCAAATACCCTAGTTAAGTCAACCCCAAGGGGTTGGCTTGGTGGCAAGGCCTTGGGTCTTGGGGGTGTGCTCCTTCCAAGGTTTAGGGATCGAAACCTTTTAGGTGCTAACAATTCTTTGGAGCCATCGGACTGGGGAAAAACTCTTAAATTAACCATGGTGTACTTGCGGAAAACTCCTTTCCAAGGGCCTGTGTATCCCTGGGGAGTAGTCGGACTTTGATCCGGACATCCCGGTGCCAATCAAAAAAAAAAAAAACCCTAGTTAAGTCCTGATTTGTGAGAAAAAAAAATCTATGTGCCTCATGCCATATCATTCCCTCATTTTTTCTCCCAAGGAGACTCTATTTCCTCAAGCTAAGGTGTCTCTGCCATCTGGTCCATTTTATCTGTGCATGCCTCCTCCCACAAGGATCCTAATGATCTACAATTAGTTATAAATAGAATTATGAACCCATTCTTGAATTTTCTCAAAACGTTTTTGGACATTAAGGTGGATAAGTTGGACTAATGAAAAAAAAAAAAAAAAAACAAGATGGTTAAGTTGACCAGGTATTGACATTCCTTAGAGTCATGGGTTAAACTTATAGGCACGTGCAAGATGCCATTCGTAGCTTGTGTTGGGTGCTACTAGGCAAGCTTGCCAACAATGTCGTTCTCACAAGAAACGTGCACTTCACAAGGCAACATGACTAAGCAACGATGCACAACCGATATACAATATAACCTTTTCTTTTGGTGTCTAGGGCTGCAAATGAACCGAGCTGTTCATAAACAGACTCGGCCCGGCTCGTTAAGGGCTTGGCTCGTTTAAACAAGCCGAGTTCGAGCTCAAATATTAGGTTCGTTTAGTAAACGAGCCGAGCTTGTGAGCTCGATAAACAAACGAGCTGAGCTTGAGCTTAGCAAAGCGCGGCTCGGCTCGTTTGTAGCCCTATGTCTAGAGGAGACTTATTGTTAAGCATATTTTGAAAGTACAAGAAAAATGATAAAAAGGACACTAAATGACAAGAATGTAATTGGAGAAGGCATTGTGCATTCCAGGTGGCATGAAAATCCAGTTGTGACACTTCACCACTAAGAAGCACTGACACGGATACGGATGCGGAAACGGACACGGACACGGATACTGATATGGATGTGGACACGGACACGGATGCGGACACAGGACACGACAATTTCAAAAAAATGGAGACACGGACACGGTGGGGACATGACAATAAAATATGTTTTCATAAATTTTTATTTGCTATCTAGATTGATATTATATCCACAAACAATCAATATTATCAAAAAATAAATTTAATTCTTTTATTTTTTTTAAAACACCTTTAAATTAACATTTACAATTTATATCTTTTTTTAATTTTAATTTTTTATTTTTATGGATGATCTAGTATTTAAATTTAAGAAAAAAATAATAAACATTCAACATTCATCAAAAACACCAAATAAAATGGGACAAAAGACAATTTAGCATGTCCCTAGTATGTCCCTGAAGTGTCTGTGTGTCCGACACAAATATGCCATTTGTTTTGAAGTTATGTTACCAGAAAATGCTAATATCCTAGTAAATTATGTATTGGTACGCACGTTCCAAAACATGGTACACTTTCATTCCAAAATGATAAATTTAGTGAATTGAAGCGATCTCAAAAGTTTTTTTCAATATATTTAATTAAAAGTTATCTTAGGATGGAAAAAAAATAAATATAATGAACTAAAATTAAAGGTGAGTTAAGTTTTGACCTGACAAAAACATTAAAAATGAGTCATAATACTCATAAAAATGTTTTGCTATATGAAAAATAAATAATTAAAAAAATTATATTTTATTAGATGTCTAATAGTTAAGAGAAAATTACTCTAGAAGTAATATATCAAGTCTTACTCATATCGTACCATATTTTAGAGCATGTGACGTACCACGTTCACGTTCTTGTTCCCGTTCGACGTACCAGAACGATCCACGTTCCAGGTAACATCTGTGCTATAATGCCCCGAAAATTTATAACATTATATAAGTGCATCAATCAATATTCATTATAAGCGAGGGTGTGATTCTTCAACCTTTACATCATTGATCATTAAGGTTTGTACAAAAATAGTTCCACATGCAAATTATATATTCAATGACATCAAATACTTGAATCTATATATCACGACCCCATTCCGCCCCTAGTAGAATGGTGTCGTGATGGCCAGTAATCCGAGATTACCAAAGGCCAACTTACAAGGATTCACACACAATCAGAGTATTACATATGGGGCTAACATGTGCGAAAGCAATATATTTAAATCTAAGTAGTCCATAAGAGCTGTGCATAAATCAAATGAAATGACATACATCTTAACCATAGTATTACAACTTGAATACAAATGAAATAAAGTACGTATTACATCCTGATCAAAAGGCTTCTCAAGCCGAAGTATGCAAGAGACATGAATTACAAACTAAGAAGCATAATCTTCAAGATAATACAAAACATGAATCAAATATCTTGCACATAACATCTAGGCGTTACCGCCTTCTTGTTCGCCACCTACATATATATAAGGACAGGGTGAGCTTGGATACTCAGTGAATGATATTAGTAATAAAGGTTTAAATGAATGATATCCGATATCTTTATCAAAACAATACATGTCATGGCTTGTAACAAAAACATGGGATGAATCAAGTTCATCAATCATGGTCTTTCAAATCTTGCTTGGGATGTTAATAACATCTACATAATACTTGTGATGACATTCCGGACAAAACAAGGGAATAATCGACCCGGAATCGATTAGACAAATCCACCCGTTCATAGACCGTCGGTGGGGCCATCCGTTCATAGACCGTCGATGACAGAGATCTCTCAAACATGGTGCTACATGGGCTTAGAGTCCCCTAGCATGGGAGGACTTTCCAAGAATGTCATCAAAACAAAGCTTATACTTGATACACAAAATAGAGATAATCATTCATGCTTGATCAAATACTTTTCAAAACAAGCAAAGCGAAGCTTTAACAAAACGTTATAACATAGCTTTATTAGAAATACCACTCACCTAGTTCTTGGGACGTCGGGATCAAGGCAAAGGTCCAAGTCCTACAAACACATGGCAAAGTCTATTGAACGCACTCTTAAAAACAAGCTTCACATGAATGCAAATGATCTAGGGAAAACATGCTGGAAGTTAAAACACTGTTTTTTGCTAAAAATAAACATGCTGGAAACACCTAGGGAAAACATGCTGAAAACACCTAGGGAAAACATGCTGAAAACACCTAGGGAAAACATGCTGAAAACACCTAGGGAAAACATGCTGAAAACACCTAGGGAAAACATGCTGAAAACACCTAGGGAAAACATGCTGAAAACACCTAGGGAAAACATGCTGAAAACACCTAGGGAAAACATGCTGAAAACACCTAGGGAAAACATGCTGAAAACACCTAGGGAAAACATGCTGAAAACACCTAGGGAAAACATGCTGAAAACACCTAGGGAAAACATGCTGAAAACACCTAGGGAAAACATGCTGAAAACACCTAGGGAAAACATGCTGAAAACACCTAGGGAAAACATGCTGAAAACACCTAGGGAAAACATGCTGAAAACACCTAGGGAAAACATGCTGAAAACACCTAGGGAAAACATGCTGAAAACACCTAGGGAAAACATGCTGAAAACACCTAGGGAAAACATGCTGAAAACACCTAGGGAAAACATGCTGAAAACACCTAGGGAAAACATGCTGAAAACACCTAGGGAAAACATGCTGAAAACACCTAGGGAAAACATGCTGAAAACACCTAGGGAAAACATGCTGAAAACACCTAGGGAAAACATGCTGAAAACACCTAGGGAAAACATGCTGAAAACACCTAGGGAAAACATGCTACAAAAATAATAAGTATTTTTTTATTTTTTCACCAAATTTTTTTTAAGTTTTTCAGGAAAAAAAAATCTGAAACAGGTTTCTGAAAATAAAACCAAATATATTAAAATTGATAATCTAACATTCTTTGGAAAGTTTAGATTATCTCAAATTAGCCATCTCAACTTAAGAGTGTGTTTGGGCTTGATGGGTTCATTTTGTGATCTAATTCGATGATCACTTTAATTTTACAATTCAATAACTAGAATATTTAAAACTCTTTGAAAAGTCATAATAAAAACACAAATCACTAAATCACCTGATTTCACTAGTAAAGTTTTTACCAACGAATAGTGTTATCGTCGCTAAATGTTTAACTCTTTGCCCACACCAACTAGTCGTTGCCAAAAGTAAGCACACTAATAGCGACGCTTATTGTGTTGCTAAAAAATAAGCCTCGTAGCTAAAATTTTTGAAATTTTGACGCCAACCAATAATTTTGGCGCCTAGCGAATGTTATACTCTTTTAGCAACGATTGTAAATTGCGTCGGTAAAGGTCTACTTTTACCAACGAAATTGATCACTGTGTCGCCAAAAATATAGTTTTGCCTATGAAAAATTGACGTTGTCGCCAAAAGTAGTCGCCAAAAGTGCAATTTCTTGTAGTGCCCCCTCTTAGGTTGCTTTTTGGGTAACAAACCCCGTGCATACTTTTTGGTGGATGCAAATATCTATCTTTAGGAAAGTGACTTAGTAATGTGACTCGAAGCATCCATTTTTTGTTTTACATAGACATTTTGATTGCCAATTTTTGAAGACCCGAAGACCACCAAGTGAAGAATTCAAGAAGAATTTCTCCAACACAATGTTCCAAACAATATAAAGTGTGAACATTCGCATCTGTTCTCTTATGTTGAAGTTGGTATGAATGTTCACATCGTAATTTATGTTAATATTTATTCCAAACACATTCTGTCCTATTTTTATTGTGGTTGACTACATATGTGAATATTCACATTTTACATAAATTAGGTTTATGATCTATCCACAAACATACTAGAGTTAATGTGAATTTCCACATCTATTTATCACATTGTGAATATTCACATCATGTTTAAATGCAAATAAACATTGTGGCTAGTGGTTATATGACTGAATACAACAGTGTGATATGAATTTTAACATCACCATTGCATAATGGTAATGAACACAGTGAAAATATATACACCATTTAATATTATATAGGTGTTAGAATATTCACACTAATGGACAAATGACAATTTTTCATTACAAATTAATGTCAACATTAACACTGATTAATGATGTGATGATGTTAACAAAAACCAGAAACAATGGAAGCAACAGAACTAGAAATCTAAAAAATCTCAATCTCTCTAAAAATAAAAAAATCATTATCAACATCCTCATCCTCATCTTCATCATTATTACTATCATTAACAACATATATAATTCCACCATTACACTAATTCAAATCAAACCAAACCAAACCCACATTTGAAAAATAAGTTTGTAACAATATCGAGCTTCGAATCATGCTATCTCCCTTCGATTCAAATCCTTCTTTCTCCTTTCGATTTCTTGTTAAAATCGCAACTATGGCAGAAAATTGAGTTTCTAACCTTCGTCCAACAATTCTCAATTTAAAATGTTCCTACAATTTCTGACTGTAACGAAACAAAGCTTCAACTTACAACAATGGAGGAACACATAGCTTCAAACATAAAGCAATAATTGACAAACACAGAGCTTCGAACACAAAGCAACAATGGAAGAAAAAAAAACTTCACCGCAATAAATGAAGGAATATAATATTCTCTGGCCACCATGTGTAAATTAGAGATTCGAAACACTATCATACAAAGATTCGAAACGTATCAGCCTATTCCCGACAAAATTGATGATCACCAAAATTGCTTCTAGAAAACTATGGAAATGTGAATAATACAGCTGTGTGAAAATACGTACTACCAAAATATAAAGGAGTATAATAGTCCCCAAAAAATTATAAATTAGGAAAAAAAAAATCTCCTGGTATAGAACTCAAACTATATGGGACTTGGTGAAATATGAGAGTACTTTATGGACTTATTAGGTTATAAGTTCACTAGATAAGATTTATACATAAATCTTAATACTTTTAACATTTTTACATATTTTAAAGGCACTTTTTATATACTTTCCAACTTCAAACAATACTTACACTGTGTTTGGTTAGGGGATTTGAGGAGGGATTTAGAAAGGGAAAGGGAAAAGGAAAAGGTGTGTGAAATTATGTGAAATGGAGGCATGTTTTTTTCACATTTCACCTATCTTTTCCATTTCTCTTTTCAAATCTCTCCTCAAATCTCTCAACCAAACACAATATTAAGGAATACTTGTTAACATTTGCATATATAAAATATATGACTGTAGAATAAAGTACAACAAAACAAAGTCATATATTTAAAGTAAAAATTAAAAGCACCTTTCGCTTAACTTTCTGATAATCAATTTATGTAAATTGTTTTAACCTAATAAATTAAAAACAAAAATTGTACCAAACAGTCTGACTTAAACTCTCAATTTAGAATAAACTATAATCACCTCTTTTAGATTTTAACGAACACCCCTCTATCATTGTGGTTGAAATTAAATTATATTCTTTCTAAAAATCTCAAACATTTGCTTTTCTGGGACCACAAAAGAGATGACTAGGGGTGATAAACGAATCAAATAACTCAAGTTCGACTCATGTTCGACTCGTTAAAAGTTCATTTGAGCTTTGGTTTGTTAAGTAAATAAGCCAAATTTAAACATATTTGGGAGCTTGTTAAAGTTTGAAAACGAAATTTGAATAGCCAATTGTTCGTTCGACTCGGTTTGATAGGTCTAAATATATATAAAAATACCAACTACTTGAATTTAACTCGACAAAAATTCGTTTGAGATCGGCTCAAAAATTTAATAAAGCAAACTTAAATAACTTTTAAAACTTGTTAAAATTATCAGATCAAACATGAATACTTTTTGATTTGATAAAAAAAAAAAACATGAATACTTTTTGAGGACCTCCACAACCCTCTTTAGATCTCAATCATTAATGTATATGTGGGGGCCACAACATTATTAGTTTAGATCCAGAAAGAGTTGTAAGGGTCTCAAAAAAAAGTCTCAATCATTGTTGTTTTATCACCCTAGCTATGAGTGTAATTTATTCATATTTTATATAAATAAATTGAATTATACTAATGACATGTTGGCCTGCTATTGGTCTGTTTTAGTGCTGTAATTTGGCCTTTTTCCTGCGAAACAAACCAATAGAAAGAACAACACGGAGCAAGGCGAATCCAATGTGCTAACAGCTCTTACCGTTCCCACGTCTCACTCCCCACCAGTCTTCAGCTCTTAACCACCCACCAGTTACTCTTTACTAGACCTCGCCACCCAGCCCTAGCTCTCTCTCTCTCTCTCTCTCTCTCTCTCCACCATCATCATCGCTCAATCAATTCACAAACCCATCCATTTCATCATCCTTGTTTGCTTTCAATCTCTCTCTCTCTGCAACTGCAATCCTTATCTTGAAGCGTTTGAACGCTTGATCATCGTCATGTATATAACCAATCAGCTGCACTTCGCAGGGCGTCGATCGAGGACTAAGTTTCTATCGTCTTCTCCTTCTCTCTCTACAGCTGCTGCCTCTTGTGCTTCTTCGCGTGCTCATTCGTCACCGTCTATAACCAATCAGTGCCGATCTTTCAGCTTCTCCTCCGTGTTTCGTTCTGTTCCGCGGTGGAATAACGGCGTCGATTGGAAGTCTCCGGCAACTCTGACTTTGAGCGAAGGATCGCCACCATGGGTACTAAAAGAATCTTATGTTCTTATGAAGTTGTATTTTTTTTCTTTTTCTTTTTTTTTTTAAATGGTACTTACATTTTTGTTTGGATAAGAAAGAAATAAAAGAAAAGAAATGATTGTGATTTCTCTCATTTTTGTTTGGTTAGGTTTCATTAAGAGAAAAGAAAAGAAAAGAAATTATTTTATGTTATATTACCAAAATAACCTTTTTATATTTTCAATCATTTTATTTCTTTTATTTTTATAGGGACAAAATTGGTATTATGAAAATAGTGGTTTCTTTTCTCTCCCAATCTCTCCATTTTTGGGAAGATTGAAAATGAGGCTTATAAGAGAAATGAGTTTCTCTCCATTTCTCTTCATTTCTTCCCATTTCTCTCTACTTAGGTTATCCAAACAAATAAGATAAGTACATATCACTCCATTTCTTTTCTTTTCTCTCCAAATCACTCAATCCAAACATAGCATTAGTTCATTGCTTATGTATTAGAAGATTTTGAATTTTTTACTTTATTTAAAAACTGTACTAGAACTATTTTTGTAATAAATGTAATGTGCTAATTCAAACTATTTACAATGGTATTTTGATGTCACTTTTACAGTATAAATCTTAATGTCGATTTTATAGTTTCGGTTTGAATTAGACGCTTTCAGAAGTTGCAATTAATAGTAAAATTTTGCAATCCTTTTTTTGTTGGCTAGTTAATTTTTTGCAATTTTGTTGTTTATCTGTATGTGTTCAGCATCCGAGCATGCTTTCAAAGGAATATTGACTGGTCTTCTCAAGCCAGGACGTGGCTAGTTTGGAAAATTCTAGAACTTGCCCGCTCTGAATGATCCAAGGATCGGTAATTATCTTGAGCTTGTTCTGGAATTGTAACTTGTATCTTTTTTTTATTATTTATTTTTTTGCTAAAAATTACTGCATGAATGCCATATAAACAGTCTATATACCCCCAAAAAGAAAAAAAGATTGTAATACTTGTTATTGAAGGAATGCCTTTTATTCTCGAGTCAGTTGTCATGTTGGATAATATTTTCTTTGTCTACTTTGTCCTTTCTGATTTAAAAAAAAAATTCTACTTTCCCATGTCATTGTTGTAGTTACATGTGTAATCTTGAGCCACTTTTTTTTTGTATGATTTTTCATTCTCAAGTAATATTGTTTTATACTTATCAATTTTATATACAACAAATGGACCTTTGAAATGCTTTTAGTAGAAATATCCTTCTCACCATTACTGGTTTACAAGGTTTTGTGTTTATGTTGTATCCATGACTTATCACAATTTTTTTCTTTTTTTTTGTTTCCCCCGTTTGCATGAACAGATATGCTGCCATACTCTATTAGGATCCTTCTTGAATCAGCAATTCGTAATTGTGACAACTTCCAAGTCACTAAGGAAGATGTTGAGAAGATAATTGATTGGGAAAACACTTCTCCGAAGCAAGTTGAAATTCCCTTCAAGCTTGCTCATGTTCTTCTGTAGGTTTTTGTCATTATTCTTCTTCATAGTGTCAATAGACATGTATCCAACTTCTAAAACTCTTCTTTTGTGCCAGGATTTTACTGGTGTACCAGCTTTGGTTGACCTTGCTTGTATGCGTGACGCCATGAACAAGCTTGGAAGTGATTCTAACAAGATCAATCCCTTGGTGAGTGTCATTCTCATTTACTGCATTTATTTTATCCTCCAAGAATTAGATTCCTGAGGTAGTTGCTTTTGGATATTAAGTCTGTGCAACTCCGCCCCCCCAATCCCAATAGAGATCCATCCCTGTCAATTTGAGTAGGAACTTTAAATATTGGGAATAGTAACTTGTAGATTCAACTTGGCTGCAAATCCTTTCATCCATCTTTTTTTATCACATTATTTTATGTGTTAATGTTTGTAGTTAAACCTTTTCCTTCCTAGTCCTGGAAAACTCCATAAATGAACCTTATTTAAAAAATTTAACTTCATGTGGTGCATACATTTCATTTCAAGCCATGCCTCAACTGTTATGTTACCATATCATTAGCATTTCTTTAGGCGTACTTTTTTGGCTACAGTTTTCCTTTCAATGATCTGTTTATGCAATATCCTACATGCAGGTTCCTGTAGATCTTGTAATTGATCAAGATCAGAAAATGCAGTACAGGCAAATATGGAGCTTGAATTCCAAAGGAACAAGGAGAGATTTGCTTTTCTCAAATGGGGGTCAAATGCATTTCAAAACATGCTTGTTGTTCCTCCAGGTTCTGGTATTGTGCATCAGGTATGGGAGCTTGACTGAGCAGCTTCATCATATTATAGAGCTTTAATATATTGAATTGCATATCTATCTCAATATTTTTGATGTGCAATTATGTATAATCACTGTATAAGATTTTCATTTCAAACTTTGTGTTAATTTTTTTTTTAATATATATATATATTACAAAGAGATGCTTGGCAAATGTAGATGTCTTTTCATTTTCAATTGCCTTACCATTTTCTTCGTCATGTATATAATTTGAATTTATTAATTGGATTGTCATTATGGCATTTCAGATTAATCTTGAATATCTTGGATGTTTTGTCTTTAACACTGATGGTATGCTCTATCCAGATAGTGTGGTTGGAACTGATTCCCATACTACTATGATTGATGGATTAGGGGTTGCTGGCTGGGGAGTTGGAGGTATTGAAGCAGAGGCAGCAATGCTTGGCCAGGTAAATAATGTTATTGAAGTGATGGAAAATTGTGAAGTTTTGTCCATACTTAGGACGAAAATTGATGAATTTGTTTTCTTTGACCATAACCACTATGTTTATGATGGTTGTGATAGTAGCATAAGCATGTGCATTTCCTTTTACATAATGCTATCAAAGCACTCAACGAGGTATAACTCAATGCTAAGAAGCACGGACACGGGGACACTGCAATTTAAAAAAAATAGGGACACAGACACAGCAGGGACACAACAATAAATTATGTTTTCATATATTTTTATTTGCTATATAGATTAATATTACATCCACAAACAATCAATATTAACAAAAATAACTCTAATTCAATATATATATATTTAAAAAGCATTGTTAAATTAACACTTACTGTTTATATCTTTTTTTATGGATGATTTATTAAGTATTTAAACGTAAGAAAAAAATAATAAATATTCAACATTCAATATTCATCCAAAGTACTAAAGAAAATGAGGAAAAACAAGACAACTTGACATGTCCTTAGTGTATCCCCAAAGTGTCCCTGGCATGTCCCCTGAAAATAAATTAATTAAATAAGGGACATGCCATGTGGCGTGTCCCATACGTGTCCCTACTGTGTCCATGTGTCCCCGAAATGTCCGACATGGATACGACACTTGTTTTGAAGTGTCAGTGCGTCATAGACTCAATGACATAAGGTTATGGAATATTGTGGCATATGGCCACACATGCTTAATTTATCGCTTCAGGTGTTGTATGTAGTGAAACTTACGTTAAATACCATATTTCCCATCAGTTATGCCATTACTTACTAAGGACAGAAAATTAGCAATAGGACCGGTGTATTTGTTTCTTGATCTATACCACTTCTAATGGGAATGGGATGGACAAATTTTCTAAACCAACTTAGTTTTGTCGTAAAGGACTTACTTTGATGCAATTCTATGTATGTGTTCATGCGCTTTTAACATATATGTACTGGAATAATCACGTATGATTGGTTTATAGATGGGTTAGGAATGGGCTTGGTTGGTAGCCTCAAAACTTGAGATGTGTTTGGGCTAATGTCAAGACGATGCTACCTCTAATCAGTTTTACATGTTGGACTCTTATATTTCTCCATAGTATCTGTGTTCACTAGATATGATAAGAGTATTGGTGTGAATTTAGACACCTGGATCCTCTAATTTTCTATGATTTTCGAAGAAGAAACTAACATTAGCTAGTAAATAGATATTTATTGCCTTTCACATGGATGAGGGATATAACATATTTCATATTTTCCCTAAATTCTATTTAATTTCATGTAAGTTTTTAAATAATTTATATAATATTATCTAAGAATATTAACAATATGCAATTTATACAAGTATTTAAGACATGTCCCATGCCCATACCCAACTTTAAGATACATATCTTAATATTCTAAGATTTTGGTTTAGGAAGGTTTGATGCTACTTGCACCCGATACTTGTATCCGAGTCCATATAGCATAGGTATTAGCTCACATGCCTACACATATGAGTCATTTCTTTAGCATCTGACACTCTTATGCTTTTGAGTTTTGTTATCCAGGGCCTTCCTTTTTTTCCACTTATACTTGTATGTTATAATCAAACCATATAATGTAAGGACTCCAAAAACTATTTAAATTAAGTCTTAATTGCATGCGATTCTCCCATGGAATTTGTTTCACTACTCTTGGACATGCTTTTGGAAATTAATGCATTGAGTAGTTGTCTGGAAAATTACGTGATGGTGTCACTGCTACTGACTTGGTTTTGACTGTGACCCAAATGCTAAGGAACCATGGTGTTGTTGGCAAATTTGTTGAGTTCCATGGTAATCAAACTAAAGCCTCGGTACTTTTCAAGTTCCATGGTTCTGTCAATGGTAGATTTAATGTTTTCATATGCCCTTATTTGTAGGTGAGGGTGTGGGCAAAATTTCGTTAGCTGACAGGGCTACCATTGCTAATATGTCTCCCGAGTATGGTGCAACAATGGGGTTCTTTCCTGTAGATCATGTTGCTTTGCAATATCTAAAATTGACTGGAAGAAGTGAGGAAACTGTGAGTACTTTTCAACATTCATGTGTGTTCGTTTGAATGTGGATGAAACCAAGGACAATGATATTGATAATAGTGATGTCTATCTTGTCTTGGTGCTTGTGATATATATTTTCACAAGGTAACACTCTTTTGTGTTGAAATTCAGGTGGCAATGATTGAAGCATATTTACGTGCAAATAACATGTTTGTTGACTATAATGAGGCAAGACTCTCTGTTTTACAATATGATAATTTGCTTTTTAAAGTTTCAGTTGGATATAATTATCTTCTTCCCCTAATTTCAGCCTCAGGAAGAAAGAGTATACTCATCCTATCTACATCTAGACCTTGCGGATGTTGAACCTTGTATTTCTGGCCCAAAGAGGTGTGTGCTCTGTGCTTCTTCAAACTCATGCACACAATGCAAATGTTGTTATTTGTTAGCATACATCTAACCATACTTACTCTTTGCATTTCCTTTTACATAATGCTATCAAAGCACTCAACGAGGTATAACTCAATCTCTATGACATAAGGTTATGGAATATTGTGGCATATGGCCACACATGCTTAATTTATCACTTCAGGTGTTGTATGTAGTGAAACTTAAGTTAAATACCATATTTCCCATCAGTTATGCCATTACTTACTAAGGACAGAAAATTAGCAATAGGACCGGTGTATTTGTTTCTTGATCTATACCACTTCTAATGGGAATGGGATGGACAAATTTTCTAAACCAACTTAGTTTTGTCGTAAAGGACTTACTTTGATGCAATTCTATGTATGTGTTCATGCGCTTTTAACATATATGTACTGGAATAATCACGTATGATTGGTTTATAGATGGGTTAGGAATGGGCTTGGTTGGTAGCCTCAAAACTTAAGATGTGTTTGGGCTAATGTCAAGACGATGCTACCTCTAATCAGTTTTACATGTTGGACTCTTATATTTCTCCATAGTATCCGTGTTCACCGGATATGATAAAAGTATTGGTGTGAGATGTGTATTTGACACCAAGACCTAATTTAGACACCTGGATCCTCTAATTTTATATGATTTTCGAAGAAGAAACTAACATTTGCTAGTAAATAAATATTTGTTGCCTTTCACATGGATGAGGGATATAACATATTTCATATTTTCCCTAAATTCTATTTAATTTCATGTAAGTTTTTAAATAATTTATATAATATTATCTAAGAATATTAACAATACGCAATTTATACAAGTATTTAAGACATGTCCCATGCCGATACCCAACTTTAAGATACATATCTTAATATTCTAAGATTTTGGTTTAGGAAGGTTTGATGCTACTTGCACCCGATATTATTTATTATATGTAAAATTAAAAAAATATATTATTTATTTATTTATTTTTAAATTTTATTTATTTACTTTAATATCAAATTTTATTTACAAATTAATTTTTTCTTACAAAAAAAATAATTAATTTTATGTATGTTTAAGTTGAGATATTCAAAAAAATAGAAAAAAAGAAAAAGAGGGAAAGGAAAAAAAAAGGGTTTTTTTTTGTTAATATATATATATATATATATATAATAATAAGGAATTAGGAGGATCAAACGAATAGAATAGAGGAGAGAAGAGGAGAGAGAGACAGAGAGACGATTGCTCAGAAAGAAAAGAGAGAGACCATCGCGCAGAGTCGATGAGTTCAAG